TTTCAATGAAGGTATGCATCGATGCACTACTTATGCATCAGTGCATAAAAGGCATTCGATGTTTATATTTTAAGCAGGTGCATCGATGCACTCCTTATGCATCGATGCATCAATGGCATTTGATGTTCATTAATTTAAATGAGTGCATCGATGCACTCCTTATGCATCGATGCACCTTCAACAAATTCTGGGATTTTCTCTTGATGCATCGGTACACTTTGAATGTGCACCGATGCACTCTGCCCATAATTCATATCTTGAACCCGGAAACTCATCCATTTCAGCTTAAATCTTTCATGTTTCGTCCCCTTTTATATTCTTAACTCCAGTACACATACTTAAACCAATCTATAGTCATTTAGTTCATCTTAAACCTCAAAATTCTATTCTTTATATGTAATTCAAGAATTACATCAATTTTTCAACATGTTTTAATTCCACTTCTAACACTTCGTATATCTTAACTAGATTGATGACAAGTCAAATTTAACTTCCAATTCTTTATATAAACTCTATTCCAAAATTTCATTCAAGAACCTCTAATCTTTAATCTCTTCTAACTCCATCATCCTTTGATTTTAAGATAACCTTAGCTTTCCTTAAGCTTAGTTATCATCTAATAATCAAAACCCAATCTTAAATTTAACAAGAAACTCAATAATCAGAAAACTCACCTTTGTTTTGCTTTACACGTACAAGGAAGAAAGGAAGAAGAAGAGAACTCTGGAAGCCTTTGGTGTTCTCTCCTTTTCAACCCACGTGTACTCATATATATCCTTTCTTTAACTAATTTTCCTTGCAAATGACTCTTTTGCCCTTCCATTCCTTCTTCTTTTCAATTCAATCCTAAACAATCATTTACAAATAAATCTTTATACTATTCAATCATTCTATTTTAATTACCAAAATCTGAAACTTTCCAATTTTAGTCACTAACCCGGTATTGAGGGTGTTACAATGGTTCTAGCCATTTCTTCTAAAGTTTGATTTTTCCTTTCAACAACTCCATTTTGTTGAGGGGTTCTAGGTGCTGAAAAATTATGGCTAATACCATTAGAATTACAAAACTCAGTAAATCTAAGATTTTCAAATTCAGTGCCATGATCACTCCTAACACTAGTTATAGAGTAACCTTTTTCATTTTGGATTATTTTTGAAAATGTGATGAAATGTTCTAATGCTTCATCTTTAGTACTTAAAAATAAAACCCAAGTATATCTAGAATAGTCATCTACCAAGACAAATGCATATTGTTTTCCACCCAAGCTAGTAGTTCTAGTTGGCCCAAAAAGATCTATATGGATCAATTGTAATACTCTACTAGTTGATACATCATTAATGGATTTAAAAGAAATTCACTTTTGTTTTCCTTTAGCACAAGCATCACAGATTTTTTCATTATCAAATTTTAGTTTAGGCAACCCTCGAACTAAATCTCATTGAATTAGCCATTGCAAAACACTCATACTAACATGTCCTAGTCTCCTATGCCATAACCAACTATCATGCTCATCCTTAGCAACTAGGCATAAATTAGTCATATAGAGTCTAAATGAACCATGTATATGTTTCCTATTCTATGACCAACAAGCATAATCTGATTAGATGCAATGTCAATGTCTTTACAACCATTAATATCAAACATGACATTGAATCCCTTATCACACAATTGACTAATACTCAATAGATTATGCTTTAATACATTCACATATATAACATTCTTAATTTGTATGGAAGATGTATTACCTATAGTACTTATACCTTCAATGTGACCTTTTGAATCATCACCAAAAGTCACTTCTCCTCCATTTTTGGCGTTGAGCTCTATGAACCGGCTTTTGTCTCCGATCATCTGTCTTGAGCATCCACTATCAAGGTACCATGAGTTTGAATTTTTTCCCGTGCCTTGTAGCAATGCTCATTTTCCTACAAACATAGATTAATTTTTTATTTTTGGTACCCAAATTCTTTTGGGTCCATATTCATTAGTTTCCAAAATCCTAGTTCCCTTAGGTATCCATTTGTGTAGGATATCCTTATCTTTAGTAGTAATGAGTCCTTTAGGAACCCATATAATTCTAACGATTTTCCATTAGAGGTTCTTCGGGGACCTCTATAATTGTAGTTTTTAAAACTTTTTCTAACAAAGTTGGTTTTTGAATTTCCCATTTTTCAAAACGTTTTGTTCCAACTTTATCAAAAGAAGTTTTAAGATCATCAATTTTCTTTTGATGATCATCATTGACCTTTGAAAGTAAATTTTGCAAATCTAAATTTTTCTTTTCAAACTCTTCTAGTTTGATTTGCAAATAACTAATTTTACTTTCAAAATCATTGTTGGTCTTGGATATGAGCTTATTTTCATTTTTTAATTTTGAAACATCATTTTTATATTTTAAAAACAATTTATCATAATCCGAAGCCAACCCATTATATTCCTCTAATAACTCATCATAAGATAAATCATCTAATTCAAATGAGTTAGAGGTTACCTTAGAATCTTCCCCGAATGCCATCAAGCACAAGTTTTTTACTTCTTGTTCCTCTTCATCGAAACCTTCTTCATCACTCTATGTAGCCACATGAGTCTTGTGCTTATTCTTTGATTGACCATTTCTCTTCAATTGTGGGCAATTATATTTGACATGCCCCGACTTTTTTTATTCATAGCAAATGATAGGGTCTTTCTCTTTTGGTTCATTTTTTAGGCCTTCATTTCGTTTGAATTTTCTTCCTCAATAAGGTCTCATCATATTTCTGAACTGTTTGACAAACAATGTCATTTCCTCGTCATCGTCGTCTTCATCCGAATCACTCTCATTTTTGTGGATTTGAGATCAACTCTAATGTTTTTCTTCTTCTCTTTCTCCTTTGGTGTCTCGTCAATCTTATCGAGGTCCACCTCATCTTCAAGCATCATTTCATGAGTGAAGAGGGAACCGATTAGCTCTTCGAGAGTTAAGGACTTTAGGTTCTTAGCCTCGATGATTGTCGTCTTCTTGGATTGCCACGATTTTGGAAGTGAGTAAACTAACTTCCTCACAAGCTTTTCGTTTGGAATGATCTCTCCATATGATTTGAGACCATTGACAATCGTTGAGAATCTATCCGTCATAGCTTTGATATCTTCATTTGGTTTCATCCTGAAATTTTCATAGCTATGTGTTAGAAGACTAATTTTAGATTCTTTTACTTCGTCAGTGCCTTCATGAGTGACTTGTAGTTTATCCCATATTTCTTTGGCGGTTGTACAAGATGAAACTCTTCCATATTCATCTGGTCAAAGAGCACAAAATATGATATGGATGACTTTGGAGTTGAGCTGGAACATTCTTGTCTCTCATTCACTCCACAATCTTGGATGAGTGAGAGGCTTTATATATCCGTCTTCTACAACATTCCATGCTCCCATGTCACTTGCTTGAATGAAATAAAGCATCCTATTCTTCTAATAGGCATAGTTAGCTCCATTGAAGAAAAGAGGCTTGTTGACGGGCATCGAATCGAGACCGGAGTCGACATATGAAGTAGATGCCATTGATGACTTGATAATTGACGTAACTCTTCCCGAATCGACTCAAGAGGCGATTAAACCTTCAAATGAGTGAGGCTCTGATACCAATTATTGAGTTAATCGATCGACGGAATCGGCCAAGAGGTGGGGTGAATTGGCAATTAAAAAGTTGGTGGAAGCTTTTGCAGAAAATTGAAAGTAATTGCATAGCGATTTAGAGTGGTTCGACTTTCTCAACCAAAGTTTACGTCCACTACCTTAGCTATCCACACTAAGGATTTTCCAACAAATTCACTAATTTGTTCTTTCTTTTGAGGACAAAGAGTAACCTTACAACCCCCTCAAGAATTATACCCCAATTATTGAGCACATTCTTTTTCAAAGAGAAAAACACAAATTTGCAAACTTACAAGAAAAACCTCACAAGGCAATATGTTTGCACAATTCTAGAACAAGATAAGAACACTCAAGAGATGATTACAAATGAGCACAAATTGTGTTCTTGAAAACAAAATGAATATTGAAAGGAAAATTGGCTTGAATTGTACAAACTTGATGCTTGATGCTTTCTCTCTTGTTTCTCTATTGATTATTCTTTATTATTGTTGATCAGTGACTTCTAAACTTGTTTAAATACTCCTTCAAATGATTCTGAACGTTGGGGATGATTAGTGGAGTCAATAGAGTCGTTTAAGTGTGAAAACAATTAATTAAATCAGTTGGGAGCGTCAGTGCATCGATGCATAACAAGGTGCATCAGTGCATCAAGTGTAAAATTAAAATATTTTAACCGTTGGAACACTTAGTGCATCGGTGCACTAAGCATGCATCGATGCATAAATTGCATTCAATGTTTTGAAAAAGCCCAAGTGCATCGATACATGGTGTGTGCATCGATGCATAAAATGCATTCGATGTTTTCATTAAAACCCGAGTGCATCGGTGCATCCCTTTAAAAAATTGATTTTAGGCTTGATTTTGGTTCAAAATACTTTGTGAAAATTGTTTCAAAAATATATTAAGTATAAAACACAATTTTACACATTTAGTAAGATTTGAAATTGATCTTGAAAGACTTGGAGTAATAATTTGATATTCGAGTAATTAAATCGAATATTCTTAGAAAATCATTTGTAAAATCTTAAAATTCATTTAACTTAATTTGTTATATCAAAACATCAAAATGTTTTCAACAGGTGAAGGACCTAACTGCAAGCATTTGAAAAGTTCAGTGACCATATTGTAAATATACTAACGACAATGTAACAACGGAGACCATATTATAAATGGACTAAATATTGAAAGACTGTATTATAAATTTTAAAAGTTAAAAGACCTAAATAAAAACTCTAAAAAATTCAGTTACTATTACTATACTCATATATATATATATATATATATATATATATATATATATATATATATATATATATATAACGGCGCCTGTACAACCCATATATAACAGAGAAGGGAAGTTCATTCAAGGGTACAAATTCAATTCTGAGGCCCCGTGAAGTTAAAAAGCTCTCCTCCTTGAATCTAAGAATTTAGGGTTTTCCTTAGCAAAAGCCCTCATTAAGCTCTTCTAGGGTTTCCTCCAATTCTTCAAATTTCCGAGCTCGGTAAGCTCTCGTTTTCTCTCTTTTAATTTATATATACATAATCACCAATATCTTCTTTGTGTTCAATACTGAATGTTCAATTATTTTTTCCCTTTTTCTGTTATGAAAAATTGAAGTTTCCAGCTATATTGAATTCGAAATCGTTTGGAGGTTTACTGCTTTTATTTTTCCTGTAGTAATTGTTAAACGCTAAGATTTACATGTAATAAAATTTGAAAATCAGTGTGTTTTGTACCTTTTATGTTTCTAATTTCATAAATTTGTTGTCGAAATTGCGAGGTAAGTCAAAGAAAATAAAACCGTTAGAAAACTAAGCCTTTATATTTCATTGCATGTTGAGATATGTATACTCCATTGATGCAGCATAGGTTGGAATCTGAAAAGGTGGGCGAGTGGCCGATGTTTTAGTTAACTATTGAACTCTATTCTACATTTGGTTCAAGCATTGCTGCATTATCATAACAATTACTTGTTTGCATTTTTTTTCCTTTTTTGCTGGATTCTATTATCGTGTTCTTTCTATTTCTATATATTTCTGTCTTTTAGTTCAATTTCTCATTCCTTATTTTCTGCCTTTTTGTTTTTCCCCCTTTTGTGAATGATTTTTCCCAGATATATAAATAATCATAAAACTAGCCATTGATTCTTTGAGGCAATTGTCTTTTAGTTCAAGAATACTTTGTTGAGCATCAGAATTCTCTTGATTATTGTTCAGAACTCTCCTTGCCTGTTTCTATTGCTTTTCTTTTTGACTATTTTGTTATTCTCTTTTCTGAGAACCACTCTAGTTGCGACTCCTTTGAAGCCATATATATCTTCATGGACAAATTCAGTCAAAATTCTTATTTTGCAACACCGTTTTGCCTCTCATCTTTTGTTTCCTCCTTCCCACGTTTCTACACTTTTCTTTTGTCAATGCTTCTGGCTTCTGTGCTTCCTTCACAGTTGTCTTGCAAGCTTTTCTTTATTAGATACATAAAATGTCAAGGACAAGGGAAGAGAGTGAAGAGCAGGTGGACCTTGAAGGGGACAATGAACCAGAAGAGACTATAGAGGAAGAGGTTGAATATGAAGAAATAGAGGAAGAGGAGGAAGTAGAAGTGGAAGTTGAGGAAGAGGTTGAAGAGGAGGTGGAAGATGAGGACGAGAATGCTGAGCTTGCTGATGTTCGGAAAGGCTCTGATGTTAATGAGGAGATGAATGATTCTGAGACAGAGGAAGAAAAGAAAAAGAAGCATGCAGAGCTTCTTGCACTTCCTCCTCATGGATCAGAGGTCTACCTCGGTGGCATTCCTCGTGACACTCCCAAGGAGGACTTGAAGAGATTTTGTGAATCTATAGGAGAAGTCACAGAGGTAACATTGCTAATTAATGTGCTAGCTGTTTACTTCTTTTTTGGACTGGCTAGATGTATAAATATAATGACTGCAGGTTAGGATAATGAAGGGGAAAGATTTAGGTGAGGGCAAGGGTTATGCTTTTGTGACCTTCAGATCCAAGGAGTTGGCTTCCAAAGCTATTGAAAAGCTAAATTATTCTGAATTCAAGGTGAGAAAGAATGCACTACTTTTTGTATCAACTGATTCTAGTGGGTCTTGACATACCAATATAAGCTTTATTTATTTGTTTCCAATATATTTCCTCTCTTTTTGCCTCCTATGAATATATATGAATAGTGCCACTTTTATTTTTAATTATTTTTCTCCGTTGAAACAAATTTCCGTTTCATGTTCACTCATTTTTTTCTTCTTCAGGGGAGAAAGATAAAATGTTCAAACTCTCAAGCAAAGAATAAGTTGTTCATTGGTAATATTCCAAGAAGCTGGGGGGAGGAAGTTATGAAGAAGGTTGTAACAGAAGTTGGGCCTGGAGTCAATTGTATTGAATTGTTGAAGGTTTGTGCATTAATGCATATATTGTCTCTCACATTCCCAATTTCAGAGGCTGATCTAGTGTAATATTCCTTTACTTATGTGCTAGTATGTATTAGATTTTGATAGCACCTGCTTGACATTGCAGGACCCATTGAACCCCTCTCGAAACCGTGGATTTGTTTTCATTGAGTACCATAATCACGCATGTGCTGAATACTCGAGACAGAAAATGTTGAAGCCAACATTTAAGCTTGAAGATAATGCTCCAACTGTGAGTTGGGCTGACCCTAGAAATGCTGAATCTTCTGCTACTGCTCAGGTTTTCTAATCTATACTCCAGTGTTGGCTGTATTTAGTTGGGTATTGACATAGATGGTTCTATAGTAATAATGTTCGACATGGTGCAGGTTAAGGCATTGTATGTCAAGAATTTACCAAATTATATAACTCAGGATCGCCTAAAGAAGTTGTTTGAACATCACGGAAAGATCACAAAAGTTGTAGTTCCGCCTGCAAAAGTGGGAAAGGAGGACAGCAGATATGGGTTTGTGCATTTTGCAGAGAGGTCAAGTGCTCTGAAAGCATTGAAGAATACTGAAAAGTATGAGATTGATGGTAAGAGATGCTCCTTTATCTTATAGCTGTTATCAACTTCCTGTATTTTCCTTGGAGATAACAAGTCATTATTGATGATATTTTGTTGTATTTTTCTTAATGACAGGTCAAGTGTTGGAGTGTTCTCTTGCAAAACCACAAGCAGATCAGAAGTCTTCTGGAGGACTTGGCTCCCAGAATTCAACCTTAGATTCAAGCTTCCCTCCTATGGGATTTGGTTTACTTGGGGGAGCATATGCTGGTCTTGGAATGGGATTTGGTCCTGCAGGATTTGGGCAGGTGAGATGAAACTTTTTCTCATGCAGACATCATCACTCTATTATTTTAATTTGTTACTTTTCTTTGGACATTGTTGGGAAAGGAAATAGTTTGACAGTTTTCTTTTAGAAATTTTGATGCTGCCAAAAGCAGTCTCCCTTTTGGGTGATTTACTGATTTAAGAATCGTAATCTTTACCCCCCCCCCCTTCTTATTGCAAGCCTTTGATTATGACTTTAAGCTGCATTGGGTGTTATGTGGGATCAGCAAGATTTGTCTTGTTTTGAGACAATGAGGTATAAATTGAATTTGAGTTTTGGTAAATCTGACACGACCTTATTGAGATGAAATAATCTTTGATTTGTGGACAAGATGACTTAGAAATTAATCTAAAATTGGCATATACTACTGTCCTTTGTAATATATGTGTGTATAGTGGGCACTGATATTATCTGGATACTTCTCTTAAAGGAACATTGCAGTAGCAGAATCAAGAAAAATTTAAAGGCCATTGTTTCCTACATAAAATTTCCCCTTTTAAGAAGTTAATAATTCAACTATGATTAGTTGATATTATTTGTAATATATTAGCAGCAAGACATACACTGTTCATACTTCTCGCTGTAATACATTACTATTAATTGTCAATAAACTTAAGAGATTGGTGTTCAAAGGTTCTCTGTATACCTGATTATTTATTTAATTTTGCAAATTTAACAATTTGCTTTTACTATGTTTTGCTGATATATATGTTAAAATCTTGCAGCCGTTAATCTACGGGCATGGACCAACCCCTGCTGGAATGGCGATGATGCCAATGCTTTTGCCTGACGGAAGGATCGGATATGTGCTGTAAGTTTTAACCATTAATCTTCGTGTTGTCGTCTTTTATTTATTCTGGATGATGGCATTCACTCTGAGAATTTGTTTTGTACAGCCAACAGCCTGGAATGCAACCAGAGACACCTCCACCACAGCCACGCAGCAGCCGAGGTGGTGGTAGTAGCTCAAGCGGCAGAAGACGCAGCAGCAGTGACAGTTACCGAGGACGCAATCGGTATAATCCATATTAGATTTCATTTGAGGCTAAGAATTAGCCGTCAGTAGGCAAATTATGGGAGATGGTGGCTAGCTGTGGAAATACTTGGTACCAGTGCATTGCTTTGGATTTACTGTTATTTAAAAAAATATTTTATATGTTTGTTAAATATAATATAAATGTATTTCAATTGAATGCACTAAAATATGTTTATATGAAAATATAGATTTTAAAATTATTAATTAAGTTAAATAATATAATTAAGTAGTTATATTTTATTTTTAATTTAATTATGAAAAAAAATAAAATTAAGATATGCAAAAATTTTAAGAAATAATTTACAATATTAAAATCAATATGTATTGCTATATGATGGTATTGATCGAAATAGTCATGTTGGTTAAAAGAAGGAAATTGAACCATTTAGTACAGGTTCAAGACTGGATAGTTTGGTAAAGTTATGCGTTACGACAGTAACAATCTAATTTAAGGTTATAAAATAGTAGAAATGAGTGTAACTTGCTTTTTTTCTTAGCATTTTAGGTTGAATTTAGAATGTCACGAAGAGCACAATATTTTTTGTTGCCAACTAATAGGAATTAAGTAATGTTTTAGGTTCAATAAAAAATATTAGGAAAAGTGTAATATTTAAGTTGCACTCAACTTAAAATGTTACTTTTTATTATATTTTTTATTCTCATCGTTCTAGTCTTAAATTAAATTGTCTGTTCCTTATATTCTCTGGATAGCTTAGTCTTAATCTTTAGGGTTTAAAGTAGTCATCTCACCAGTTGTTTGGTACTTGAATATATTGATACTGGTGTATTGTCTTGATTTTATTGTAATTTTTTAATAGTATTTATCTTTATATTATTATACAAACACATTTCAACTATATTACATATTAATATATTTGTATGAAAAAATTAAGATAATTAAATAAATTTAATAATTTAATTAAATTATATATTTTAATTTGATGGCAATTATGAAAAAAAAAATTAAATATAGTTTTTTAATGTAAATAGAAGTAGCTAGTTTTATTGAAAGAAAAAAAGAATAAAAATTTAAAATTACAATGAAGATTTTGAATTATACGTGTAAACTAAACACACAATTTGGACATTTCTTATAACTATAGACATAAAAATTCGAAAAAAATATAGATACAAATGTAGATGATTGCATCGATAATTATCTCTGAATGCAAATCGCATATCAAAATAAATCTAAAGGTCCAAAACAGAGATAATCATAAGGATAACAAATAAGCTCCATCTTAATAAGTCAAGACGACCCCAAATAAATCTTGAGAAATTAAACAAAAAGAATGGTCAAACGACCGATCGAGAAAATAAAAATCATACTAAAAAACAAAAAAATGTATTATAAAGATAAATAAAAACGTATCATGAAACCATAATTATTAAAGTTTAAAAAATAATAAAAATAATAAAAAGAAAATCGACCAACATCAAGATTAGTCAAAATTAATATCGTCGTAAACCAATAACAATGAAAGAAAAAGAAAAAAAAAGAAACAAACGACTCTTTAGAGAAAACTAGGGTGAAAACCCTACTCCCTTTATCAAGTTAAGATAAAAATAAAAATAAAAATTAAATTTAAATTATTAAAAGACCAAAACATACTAGAAAAATCATAACACATTAGAATTTTAACTAAAGTAGAACCTAAACTAATTTAAGACGTGGATAATGATTCGATATTAATTATACCAATTCAAACTCTTTAATTAAATTTTATATAGAATTTGTGTCCAACTGAGTCCTGTTATTAATTTGAAAAAAAATCCAGTCATTTCATTAAAGTTTTTTGTTTATTAATTAATTTTGATAGCTAATTATAAGCATATCATTGGAATGTAAATATCTGGCGTACTTAAATTTAGTAAATTATAAATTAAATGATTAAACTTTTATATTTATTCTACAAAGTAAATTAAGTCATTTTTTAATTAATCACTTGTTTGATCTATTAACCAACTAATCCAGAACGGCCATCCTCTCAACTTAGTTTGTTCAATTCATAAATGTCAGAGTTCAAACCTTAACTTTGCTTAATAAATCTAATGTCTTATCCCACTAAACCAACTGATGATGGACTAAGGGAACTCGTGATGACAATTACCCCTTGAAATTTCAAGTTATTATATATTAAAAAAATTTCTTTGTGTTTTTAGGGTAAAATACACAAATAATCTCTCAACTATAGGCCGACGATTTGTTGAGTCACTTGACTATTTTTTATGGTAAAGTACACAAATGGTCCCCTAACTATAAGGTGATGCTTTTTAAGTCCATCGACTATTAAAAGTTACAAAATGGTCATCCGACTAAAGGGTGTTGCTTTGTTGAGTCCACCAACTATTAAAAGTTACAAAATGGTCACCCGACTAATTATTATGTCCAAATTCGTCATCTTTTGTTAAAAAATTGACAACATTCTGAGATGAATGTTAACCTGCTGACTGAGATATAATAAAATCTGATCTTAGATTCTCAAAAAACTATCATATCTCAGTCAACAAATTAACATCAAACTCAAACTATTGTCAATTTTGAGAGCGCTTTGTTTAAGCAAAAAGTGGGGGAAAAGGGGGGAAACCCGATTTGTCTGAGAAGATAAACGGTGGGGGGCTTAGGGTTTCAGCAATTCCCAACAGTGTGAGTAAAATGATCCAAAACATAAAAGAGACCACGGGTAATCATAGTGAAGATGAGATTTATGCAACGCTTAAAGAATGTTCTATGGATCCTAATAAAACCGCTCAGAGGCTCCTCCTTCAGGATCCTTTTCGGGAAGTCAAAAGAAAGCGTGACAGGAAAAGAAAGGTAAGTGATTCTACAACAAAAATAATTTCAAGCTTAGTCACAAGAGAAAATATAAGAGATAGAGAGAGAAAATTTGGATGGTCCCTTGTCCTCCGATGAAGAATGGACGACATTTGTGGACAATCTAAGTAAGAGAGTGATACATTCATCACAAGACTCACATCAAAAGAAGAAGTAATAACTCTTCCAAATGATCCACTCGTCCAAGCATTGGAAAAAAAGATCAGAACAGACGCAGACTTACGAAGACTTTTTGAATGGATCCTGATCTTATTTAGTCAAGATGTATTATGGAAATACGGTCGTCTGTCTCTTATCTTTCCAACGGTTTTTGAATCGCATTAATCCGATAACGGGAACTCAAGATATGACTATTTTACTGAAGACGGTGCATGAAGAAAATCCTATACGGGATTAATACAGGATTTTGTAAATATTACGAATTTTCAATATTTTTATTGATTATTTGTAATATAACTTAATATAGGATGATGCATTATCTTTTAGGATTAGATTTATTATTTTATTAGGAATTAAGGTTGGGTTAAAAATATTATCTTTAGTTATTATTATTTTATTAGGAATTAGAGTTAAGATATGTTTAGTTTATTATTATTTTATTCATTAGTTATTTAGAACCTTTAGAACTCAGCCCCTATATAAAGAAGGCTTCATTAAACTTTTTAATTCAATATTTCTTTGATTAATAATACAACGAGAGTTCGTTTTTGCAAGTGATGATTGCCTTGTGCCTTCGAAGCTTCTTCTCCTGGAGTTCTTTCAAGTTCTTGTGAGGGAGATTAATCTTCACACTCCAATTTGACTTTTCATCACGACTAGGAGGGTAGGTTAGAGCCATATTATCGTGTTTTCCTTTTCATTGCGACTAGGAGGGCTCGATAGGACACTTATCCATATATTTTCCACAAATCCATCCTCACCATCATCATCTTTACCGTTCACCTTCATAAGGGAGATCTTTTGATTTCTTTATTATCTTATTTTATTTTTAATTTCTTTATCTTTTGTTTATCTTGTTCTAATCTTGTTTCTTACCTTATTTCCAGCACTCAAAAGAAACTCTAAAAGACCCTAGTTACTGCCACCACCTTTCCATATTCATCCCCTTTGTTCTTCATCGAGTCTAGAGCTTTCTAGGTTTGATTCTTCAACAAGAGCAACGTTCATCAATCCGCCGCCGCTTCCCTATCAATTGGTATCATATTTGGGCCGATTCTTGGAAAGAAGCAAGCAATCTTGCTTGTTCTTGCACACAAAACCGTCAAGGTATCCCAACAGAGCTAGTCCAGAAAAGATTCATCGTTTCAAGTTCTTTTTATTTAATTTTAATTTAGATTCAAATCCTTCTTGTTAGTTTGCTATTTTAAAAAAAAACAAAAAGGCAAAAAAAGACAAAATTTCAAAAAAAATGCAAACGAAGGTATTTAGGGATGATTTTCTCCAGATATCATATTCATCCTAATATAAATATCCAGTCCAAAATTCACCCAAATCGGAGTTCATTAGAGCATTCAAATACGTTCTTCAAGTTTCATTGGCAGATTCGGTCTAGGATCTTGTTGAATTTCTTGAAACTTCTACAGGAGGAATTTCATGGTGAAAATTTCCAGATTGCAACTTTATATATTGAAGATCATTTACACAAAAAAAAAAGCAGAATATTTTGAGATCAAGAACACCTTCGAACAAAGCGATCAAGAAAAATAGATTGTTTGAGGACTCACCGTTCAATAGAGTCCACTGGATACTACTGAAGGTATTTGGTTCTAAAATTTTACAGGTGGTTTCTTGACGCATCGAAATACATTCAAAAATTTTACCAAAAATTTTGGACACCGGTAACCTCCTCAAAAACGTTGCTCAAGTTGATCCAGCGTTTTCCAGGTTTCTGGGTTGGTTCTTTTTTTTCTTTGACTCTTAGTACTTTAAGTTCTTTTGTTTTTTCTTTTTATTGTTCTTGTGCATTATCTAACACATTATCTTTCTTGTGATAGTAGGACTAAAGAGTTTGCATACTTCTTCCTTCTTTGCATTCTCGTTCTCTTGGAGTCTAACCCTTGTTTGGCCTCTTAGAACTTTTAAGTTTTTTTCTTATCGCCTTTGCTAGTAGTCAAACTCTGATACGAACTGTGGAAGACTACTTGGTAAAGTTAGTTTTAAAGAGTACAAGATCGGCTTACTTGCCTCTCGTTGTGTTACAT